CCTTGGACTTCCCATGGGGCAGGGAACCCTGACTGTTCTTAGGACTAGAGAGGGAGGGGGAAGTAGGGAGGAGGAGGGAAAAGGGAGGAGGGGAGGAGGTGGAAATTTTTAATAAATAATATAAAAAAAGAGTGACTAAGTATCTTTTCAACAAATAATGTGGATTTACATGCTCTCCAGTAGTTAATATTGTTGATTTTTAATTTGTTTATGAATGGGAGTACAACAGCATTTTATTATAATATATTAATTTGCATTCAATCCATGCCTTCATATGTATATTGGCTATCTTAATCACTATTCTATTATTGTGAAGAGACACCATGACCAAGATAATTCTATAATGAAAAGCATTTAATTGGCGACTGGCTCCCCAGGAACTTGAATAATTAGGACAAAGTTGCATACAACTTATTGAAAGAAATGGCTGAAAACTCAAGTGAGAGTCCTATGACCTCCCATGTGCCCTTCTTCTATGAGGAAAGGTTTACAGTTAACACATCCAGCTATGGTGATCTTTTGATAGCAGACACAGATGAATTAATGAAGATGGTGGCTCTTTGGTTCAGAGGATAATGCTGTACAATATCTTTATACATTCATAACAGGAATCCTCTGTTGCTTTTATGTATTGAAAATACTTTCTGCTAATATATATCAAATCCTTTTTTTTTGTTGACAGAGGTTTCGGTCCTGCCTGGTTCTGCAGCTGTTCATTCCCAAAGAAACACACAAAGGCTTACATTAATTATAAACTGTTTGGCCTATTAGCTAAGGCTTCTTATTAACTAACTTTTATATCTTAAATTAACCCATAATTCTTGTCTGTGTTAGCCACATGGCTTGCTACCTTTTATTAGTGAGGCATTCTCATCTTGTTTCCTCTGTGTCTGACTGGTGACTGCAGACTTTCCTCTTCCTAGAATTCTCCTAGTCTTGTCACCCCACCTATACTTCCTGCCTGGCTACTGGCCAATCAGCGTTTTATTAAACAAATACAAGTGACAAATCTTTACAGGGTACAATACCATTGTCCCACAATACTTTTCATCATTATATTTATTATTAATTTTTCTTTTGTGTGTCTACATGTGTATGAGGGAAATACATACAGAAATAGAGAATTGTATCCATCCTTGTATGTATAGTTTTATACATTCATGAATATACAGAAAAAGGAGGAAGGCCTATGTGTTCTGCTCTATTACTTTTCACCCTATTTTCTTAAGACAGAGTCCCTCACTGAATAAGGAACTATGCTGACAGCCAACAGATCCTATTATTTCTTTCCATAGCTCTGGGGTTATAGGCATGTGTGGCCATGACCATCTTTTAAAGTGGATGTTGTTAATTCAAATGCAGGTTCTCTATCACCAATAGGACAAAATAGCGGCCTACAGAATGGGAAGACTCCACATCCATCAGAGAGTTAATATCTAAAATATATAAAGAACTCAAGAAACTAGACATCAATAAATCAAATAATCCAATTTAAAATGGGATACTGCTCTAAACAGGGAATTCTCAACAGAGGAATCTCAACTGGCTGAGAAACACTTAATGTTCAACATCCTTAGTCATCAGGGACATGCAAATCAAAACTACTTTGAGATTACATCTTAACACCTGTCAGAACAGTTAAGATAAAAAAAAACATAAGTGACAATTCATGTGGAATGAAGGAATCACTCCTCTATTGCTGGTGGGCATGCAAACTTGTACAGTCACTTTGAAAATCAATAGTACAGTTTCTCTGAAAATTGGGAGTTGTTCTAACTCAAGACCCAGCTATACCACTCTTGGACATATACCCAAAGGATGCTCCATCTTACCACAAGCACATTTGCTCAACTATGTTCATAGCAGCTTTATTTGTAATAGCCAGAACCTGGAACAAACTTAGAAGAATGAATAAAGAAAATGTGGTACATTTACACAATTGAATATTGCTCAACTGTTTAAAAAATAATGACAGCAGGAAACTTGCAGGCAAATGGATGGAAATAGAAAAAAACTGAGTGAAGTAACCCAGACCCAGAAAGACAAATATGGTATGCACTCACTTATGGGTGGGCATTAGCTGTTAAGTAAAGGTTAATTCAAAAACCCAGAGAAGCTAAGTAACAAGGAGGGCTCAAGGAGGGTTGAATGGCTCTCCCTGGAATGGGGAAATAGGATACATTTTGAGAGTAGACTGGGGGAAAGTGGGGATGGGGATGGGGTGATCAGGTGATAGGAGAGTGATAGATGGAGAGAATACTGGAAGAGATGACTGGAATTGAGGGGCATTTGAGAAGTCATGTAGAAACCTAGTACAGTAGAAACTCCCTAGAATCTACAAGAGTGACCCTAGTGAAGTCTCCTAGTAAGAGGGGATATAGAGCCCAAATCTGCCATCTTCTATAACTAGGCAACTCTCCCAGCATTAGGACTGAGACATCAAGCCAGTACAAAACCTCCAACCTACATTCTGTCCTGCCTGCTCGATGCTGTGCTAATAGTGGCACAGAACTTGTGGGAGTGGCCAAGCAATGACTGATTCAACTTGAAGTCTACTCATACCATGAGAGGTAGCCCACACCTCACACTGCATGGATGCCCAGGAACCAGAGACTGGTAATCCCAGAGACTCAGGATAAAACCAAATATCACTGGCATTTTAAAAAGTCAACAAAATGATTTCTAGTGATATTCTGCTATACTCATAGATCAGTGCCTAGCATAATCATTTTCAGAAAGGCATCATCTACCAACTGATGGGAGCTGATGCACAGACCCACAGCCAAACACTAGAGGGAACCAGGGGGGAATCCTGAGGAAGATGGGGAGGAGAGGAAGGATCATAAGTACCAGAGGGGTTAAGGACATCAGAACATATTCACAGAATCAACTAACTAGGGCTCATAGGGACTCAAATAGACTGAAGTGGCAATCATAAGCACTCTATATGAGTCTGAGCTAGATCATCTCGATATACGTTATGCTTGTGTAGCTGTTTCTGAGTCTTTTTCCTGCTCCTGGAACCCATTTCCTCCTACTGGATTGCCTCGTCTAGCCTTGGCGAGGATTTGTGCCTAGTTTTACTGTAACTTGTTATGCCATGTTCAGTGCATATCCCTAGGAGGCCTGCTTTTTTATTTTATTTTTTATTTTTTGGATTTTCAAGACAGGGTTTCTCTGTGGTTTTTGGTGCCTGTCCTGGAACTAGCTCTTGTAGCCCAGGCTGGCCTCGAACTCACAGAGATCATGTGCTGGGATTAAAGGCGTGCGCCACCACCCGGCGTGCTTTTTTATTTTTTGAAGAGAAACAAGAATGAATCTTGGGGAGAGGGGAGGGAAGGTGGGGATTGGAAGTAGTGGAGGGAAAGAAAACTGCAGTTGGTATGTAATGTATGAAAAAAGAATTTAATTTTTTTAAATAAAATAACTATGGAAACAAAACAAAACAAAAACCTCAGATCCTGATGTTTGAACAGTAACTAATCCTAGCCAATGATTCATCTTCCCATTCCCTTATAGTTGAAGGATTGTTTCGTTTTAGAAAGTAGTTGATACAGCACAAATTGGCCTCAATTCAACCTGTAGCAGAAGATGGATTTAAACTCAAGATCCTCCTGTATTTACCACCCAAGTACTGAGACTACAGGTATGTGTCAGTTGGCCTGGTTATCTTTTAGGTTTTTTTTTAAAGAAGTTCTTATTTCTTCTTATTTATTTGTTATTTACTTTTGAAGACAAGGTCTTTGTATCCCAAGCTGCCTTCAAACTCACTATGTGGCTGAGGGTGACAATAAATTTCTGATCCTCTTACCTCTACCTCTCAAATGCTAGGAATATATATATTAGAAGGGGTTTTTTTGCTTTTGTTTTTATTTTTGTTTTGTTGGTTTTGGCATGCTGGCTAGGCAGTCCATTAACGAGGTTTGTTCCATTTGCATATCACATAAAGCAAGGTCCCAATTTCATCTTTTCCAGTTCCAGATTCAGTTAATAAAAGACCCTCTTTAAACTCATCTGTTTTTATTGTTTAGTACCCTTGTATATGTGCACAGGTGTGTAACAGGGTTGTCCATTCTGTAACATTGTTCGATGTATTTTTTCTCTGAACCAGTCTCTCCTTCTTCCTTCTCCCCTCCCCTCTTCTCTTGTCTTGCATTCTTTCTCCACCTAAAACTAGTTCCTCTAGGGCTATGGGTACGGTTTAAGTTATTAATCATGTGAACTCATGGTTTTAGGACAGGGTTCCCAAGGAGCCTTTAGGTCCAGTAAACATTAATTTTGCTCAGAAAGCCTTTTATTTGTCTCCAGGGCATTTGGATGTTTAGGGATCTTACTCTGATTCTTAAAAATTGTTTGTTCCATTTGTTTTGACTGATTCCTAGAAATTGTGTGCCATCAACAGTGGGAGAGCTGGCCTAAAGTAAGTAAAAACACTCTTGAGGGCAATCCCATCTTTCATCACTAACCGGCATACACCAATATAAATGATGGTACCAGCAGCACAGGAGCGTAAAGGCATTTTCACAAGTCTAAACCTGAAAGGTGTATTAGTCTTGTGACCATACTGATTTAAGAGCCCTGAATCTCGTCAACTCCCTGCATTCTTCAGGCTTCATTGGGAAGCTGGATGGTTCCTGATGGTCCCAGCTATCTGGATGTAAAATCAACTCCAGGGTTGCCTAAGCTAGGAATCAGGGGCCTGCTGGTTGCAACTCGGGGATAGTAAAGGGACGGCAGATGCAGTAGTTGAACGTTTCTGGATCTGCTCCGGTATTTCAGGCCTGCGGGTAAAAGCGGGACGGAATTCCATCGTCTTTGGACGCAGCCTGCGCAACTCGGGCCCGCAGAGGCGTGGCAAGAGCAAAGCGTCCTAGCAGGCCTAAGGTACGCCTTCTCCAATCGCTGGCACGAGGAAGGCCAAGGCGTGGGTGGGCTTAGGGGCGGGCCAGGGCGGGAAGTAGGCGGAGCGTGGGTACTGCTCCACCCAGTCCTTCTGGCTCCTAGCCGGCGGGGTTGGGGCTGGCGCAGCTCTAGTTCCTTTCCTCCTCAGCCGCCTGCGCTGCCTCCGCCGCCTCCGCCGCCTCCGCCTCAGTCTCCCACGCCTCCGAACAGGCCGCGGTTACCGGTTTGCGATTCCCGGGCTTAAACTCTGCAGCTCCAGTGTCCCGGTGTCCGTGCTCCTGCGAGATGACGCTCAAGTCGAGCGAAGGCGAGGGTGGGAATAGCATGCGCACCGCGCTCTCGGACCTCTACCTGGAACACTTGCTACAGAAACGCAACCGACCTGAGGTTAGCTGGACCTCTGGGGTCCTCGGGGTTCGGGTTGGGTCTCTGCTCCAGGCCTTTCCATCTACTTCTGGATTTGTCCTATCCGTAGCCTTGCTCCTGGGTGATCTGCCCCGGAGGACCTGATCTTGAGTGTCCTGTTCCCAGGGTGGAGGCCTTTGCTTTGGGCCGAGTTCATACTGAGATCAGGGTGTGGTGAATAGTTGTCTGCGGCAGTCCTCCTAGGTGAAAATCCCAATAGGCTGGCCAGGACCAAATGCTTACTGAGGTCAAAGAAAACTTGTTCATGGATGGTAACAGAAAGACTTTAAGAAGAAAAATGAAAGACTTTAAGGAACACTTCCAAGAGAAGATCTGCCTGGTTGGTTGTTGATCATTTGTATTCAGCCTCACAGACATTGTGAAAGCCAACTTCGTGCTCTAAAGAGCTCACCCAGTGTCCCTTTGCATTTCATTTCAGCAGATCCCCTTTTGCTTCGTTGTAAATTAGTGTAGTCTTCATATTCCAGTGTTAAACAGTAAATAACTCCGGTGTCAGAGGCCTCCAGAAGAGGTTATGGATTATATTCTATGTAGCATGTCTCCCCCAAATTCAGTAGGTTATAGTGTGAACCTTGCTTACTTCTGCTCCCTTACCCTGCTCCCTCTACTTTCTAGTCCCTTCTGGGAGATTTATGGAGTTGCTTACGATACAGCAAAGCTGGATTTGTGACAAGCAGGTACAACTATTAAACAACATACATTGCTTAAACAAAATGTTCAAAGATGATACTAGGTGAAACTGAGAAAAATATTTTTGGTTGTGATCCTGGTCTTTTACGGCTGAGCCATTTCTCCAGCTCAGAAACTGGGAAAAATAAAACCAAAAACCCTTGCAGGAATGGTACCTTGAGAAAAAAACAAAAAAAAACCCCTCATATGTATTGATCACTTTTTTTTTAGATGAAGGAAAAAAAAAGTGAAGAATTGGTAAGGAGAAAAAAAAACGTATTTATGACAGTTGTATTCTGGTTCCCCAATTCTTTGTTTTCTTTTCCTAACCTCTGGTGTCATTTCCCCTCCCCCAGCCAGTTTTGGAAGTACGGTTATTTAATCTTGCCTCTTTGCTTCACACCCACAGTAACCCTGACAGAGCAGTTCACTGCTTAGGGGAAGAACCTGTGCACCAATTAAATGTCAGGAAATTTTATCTTTCCTGCTGACAAGTAGGAAGACATTTTGCTTTTTGTTTGTTGTTTAAGGTCTCACACTGTAGTTCAGGCTAGCTTGTAACTTTATTTATTGTCCTGACAGGCCTTGAACTCCTGGCAATTCTGCCTCAGTTTCCAGAGTGATGGAATTATAGGCATGAGCCAACAAGCCAGACTTCAGGATATTTTTAATTGTCACAACTAAACGTATTTAACTTTTTACAGCAATGAATTAGCAGACCCCCAAATGTCATAACTACTGAAAGAAACATCTGTTCCTGATGTTCTAGTTCAGTGTCTTATCAAAGAGCAAAGAGCAGAACTTATGTGGTAAAACGCTAATCTACTTAAGCCTCTGTGACCACAATAAAACCAGATTCCTATCTGTAAGGTATCTAAGTCTTACCGGTTTTGAAAAATAAAGTCATAAATATCCTGGAAGTGAAGGACAGGAAAGGAAGAAAACTGACAGATAATACTAGGTACTGAGAAAATTGGGGTAAAGACTAAATAATTTTAAAATAACATTTTATTTTCTACTATACATTCTCTGAAAACACAGACTTTGAATGGAAATATCCCATTCTCAAATGAAACAACCAGACCCAAAAAGATGCTCTTTCTTTAGTAGAATGATAATCAGGAGCAGATTCACTGACCATGCTGCTCCCTTCTGACTCAGCCAAGACTTGCTTTCTGCTGTTGTACATGGAATGGATGACATTGAACCTTGGTGTTTTCTTTATAGGCTATTCTATTTTGCCTGGAGTACTGTTTGCCCTGTACATCCTGTATTCTACAAAATGCAGGCTTCAGCAATGCTGGGCACTCTGCAGTGTTTCACAGCCCCCTACACCTCCTTCAGAGGAAACATCTGTAGCACAGTTCAAAGGGCAGAGACAGTTTCTCAAAGGAAGTTGAAATTTAAAAAAAAATAGATGAAAATAACTTGGCAGGGGTGGGGGCAGGGGTAATGGGGGTGAATAGAGCAGAGACAAATATAGTTGACTTTCTCATTTAAAGTAATTGGCTTCAGAACAAGTGGCAGTGAACTAGTGAGCACAGGAATGAACAAACATTTGTTCAATCTACTGTTAGGCCCTCTGCCAACTGCTTCCACATGGAGAACTTAGAATGCCCAGTCCAAGGAGATGAGTGACCCTAAATACAAAAGAAGAGCCTGGGAGGACCTTAACACCACCTGCCAGTCTTGTGTAGATGCCTGGCTGAGCCCATTTGATGTCCACAAGTACCCACTATTCACATGGACATAACTGTTTCACTTTGTGAGGGGAAAACTACAATAAAAAAGCTAGAGAAACCATGAAACTAACAATTCCCTAAGGAAGTATAGAGCTTAGAACTATTTAACTATAAATGATAAGAACTGGAGACACAGGAAAGCCCAAGAATCAGGATTTTTCTGGCAGGTATTGTCTTAAAATCATACATTAACTAGAGCTTTGTTTCTCAGGCACTAAATACATATATCAATCCAAAGGCCACATGTTTAAAGGTCCTTGGCTGATTTGCTTATCTGTCCAGTGCACTCTGGACATCTGCACAGGCTTCTTCCACTGAAATAAAACAGGAAACACAAGCAGCTCCATTCCACCTAAAACACTGAACTGTATTTCCAAATACTTGGCCCTTGGTTTCTGCATAGCCATTAGATCAGTGTTGAGATTATGTATAAAACAACATTCATCGAATTATTTTTTTGTTTTTTTTATTTGTTTATTTGGTTTTCTTTTAAGATAAGGCCTTACTATGTAGCTTTAGCTGGCCTGGAACTCACTATATAGACTAGGATGGCCTCAAACTCAAAACAGATCTATCTGACTCTGCCTTCAGAGTGCTGGGTTTTAAATCATACCTTTAATCCTACCATGCCTGGCAGTTTTTGTTGTTTGTTCTGTTTTATTTTTTAAAGATCATCTCACTGTATAGTCTAGGCAGACTTCAAACTCTTGGCAGCCCTCCTTGTCTCACACTCCCGAGAGTTGAGATTATAAACCTGCACCACCAGGCCTAGCTGATTAAAATTAAATTCTTACCTGGGTGGTCATGGTGCATGCCTTTAAACCCAGCACTCAGGAGGCAGAGGCAGGTGAATTTCTCTGAGTTCAAGGCTAGCCTGATCTACAGAGCGAGTTCCAGGATAGTCTCCAAAGCTACACAGAGAAACCCTGTCTCGAAAAACCAAAAAAGAAAAGAAAGAAAAATTAAATTCTTGTCTCTACTTTGTGATCAGTATTTAAGGTCAAAAAGTAATGTTTACAAACCATTTGCAGTAAAATAATTCATAAGCCTTAGACTCCAGGAGTCAGTTAAAATAGAAGCACGGGATTCAGAGTTCAAGAAGACAACATGATACCAGGTCTTGTTTTGTAGCCCAGGATTGTCGCAAACTCACTTTGTATTCCAGGTTACCCTCAGACTTATTCTTCTGCCCCAGCCTCCCATGTGCTAGGATTACAGGTATGTGCTACCATACCTAGTTTATAAATAAAACTTTATTGATGTTATATAATAAATTTTGAAACTAGCTAGACTGATATTTACCACTTTATTCTCTTTCAAAATTAGTTTAACTATTCATAGATAGGTCAATGACCTTCCATCATGTTTATAATTTTAAAAGACCAAATTGTCTAGAGATACTTTGACTTACTTCAGCAGATCAGGTAAGTGAAACCACTTGACCTCTGACACCAGTCTCTGGTCCTAGGCAGAAGTGGAGAACAAAATGGCTGGCTCACCTGGATTGAATTTCCTGATTTTTTTTAATTAAACAAATCAAAGATATGTAGTCACAATAAAGAAAATTATAGCTAGAAGGTGGTGGCACATGCCTTTAATACCAGCACTCAGAAGACAGTGGCAGGCAGATCTCTGTGAGTTTGAGGCCAACCTGATCTACAGAGCGAGTTCCAAGAAAGGCAGGGGATACACAAAGAAACCCTGTCCCCCTCCCAAAAAAAGATAGAAAATTATATCTTTTTTGATTAGCTGTCCAAGCAGATACTACTTTTGATGTTCACCTTTCTAAGGGGACAAGATTAAGTACTCTTCTCCATCTCTTTAAACTTCTCAGCCTCAGTACATATATATCTTAATTTGTTACATTGCTTGCATTTACAATATGTTCTTTATAACTTTTTTAAAAGATTTGTCTGTGGGTGAATCCAAAAATGTGAAAGTCAGTGATTTTTATCTTGTTATAGTTGGTTGCTGAACTAATGTTCCAATTTTTCCAGATCCCTGATATTGTTTGGAGTGGCAAGATGTTATCCAGCTAGATTCTTACTTTTTCAGCCTTTTTTTGCAGCTTGAGGTGGTTGTATGGCTGTGTTCTGGAGCTCTGGCCTATGAGATAAGAAAAGCTGTTCTCTGGAGAAGTTCTGATCTTGGTCCAACTGACCTGGCCCCTCTGCCTTCTTGCCTTGAGAGTGGAGCTGATCCACAGAGTCACAGCTTTTGAATACGTTTCCAGCCCATGACTCCCTTCTTGGATTTCTGACCTCAGACTTATGGTCTGTGGAGCAGTATGGCCTTCTTCTCAGCTAAAGACTTGAGTGATCAGTGACTGTTCCTTTGCCTACTTTCTGTAATTTAGAGGATTATTGAATGAAATCTGTTATCCTTGGTGATGCTTTAATGTGTTCTCCATGGGTGATATGAAAAGTGTGTGCTCTCTTTCTATTCCCACTTTGCTCTTAAAACCTGGATGTGGTGGTAGGTGCCTATAATCTTGATGTTTGGAAGTCTGAGTCAGGAGGATTGTGATTCCAGCCCCCTATGAGATATATAATGAGACCCTGTCTCTAAAGGTTCAAATAGATAGACTAAGAAGTAAGGGAGGATGAGATCCACATAAGTAGTCAGGCTGCCAACTTAAATGGGAATTCCACTCATGTCAGAAAATTCCATCTTGCCAGTTGTAGAAAGGAATGTCGTTTTGAGAACTTGGTGGGAACAGTAGACTTCCGTTTTCCTGAATAGAAATTAATCATTGTGATATAAAATGGAGGGATACATGAGGCTTTGAATGCTGAGTATTTTCTTTAGTGACATCTTTCAGTATTATTAGTATGTCAACACTCAAAACAGAGAGCTATACAGTAGCATGGTAACCCTAGTCCACATTTACCAACTGTTTCTAAGTATTATATTAAGCTTGCAACCCAGTAAAGTCATCCTGTTACTATCCTCATTTTACAGTTAAAGAAACAGAAGTGCAAGAAGGTCAAGAATCCAAAGTTACCCAACAGTTAGTAAAAGAGCCAGAAATCTAATTCAGATAGTACGTTTTCTTGCTAAGCGCTGTGTTCTAGATTTTTAAGTTCTACTTAATATATTATTTTGCTAAATTATTTTATTTTGTTTATTTATTTATGTATTTATTTATTTTTTTCGAGGCAGGGTTTCTTTGTATAGCCCTGTAGACCAGGCTAGCCTCGAACTCACAGAGATCTGCTTGCTTCTGTCTAAGTGCTACAATTAAAGGATAAATCTAAATTATTTTCTTAAAGTAATTTATGCACATAGTTCATAATTTGCAAGGTATGGTGAGTAAAGTTAGCTCATGAAAGCAATTTCGTTCTCGCTCCATCTTGTAGCCAACCACTTTCTCCAAAGATTATTTGTATGTTTTTAAGTAAATGTGAATACACTAATTTTTTCACTTTTTGTGGTGAAGGTAGCATAATTATCTTCACATTGTTTTATTTTTCACATAAACAGTTTCAAAATTACCTCTAAACCCCCTTGTCAGGGCTACATGGTGTCTTCCCACACAATGTCTATAATGCCACTGGATTGTTGTAGAGTACCTTGGGTTTGTGTGAAGTTCTGTGTTGCTAAGTTAATTTTCAAACTACAACCTTTTCAATAGTGTTACAACATAAATGCCATATGACCATGTCGTGTGAGTTTTGGACATTTTAGCTGCAAAACAAGGCAGTTTCTCTTTCTCAACACTTCCCTCATCTGAGGTTACCCATACCCAGTTCTTATTGTACTTTCCATTACAAAGGAAGCAGTAAGTTGACAGTTTTTGAAGAGCATACCTATGTTATGTCAACGTCTCTCAAGTTTCTAGGCAAGACCTCCTTGCCCCTCATCTTTCCATCCTCTTCCCTCTGTGCATGGGCAGGCCACTGAACTCATTCCAGCCGTGTATACATTCCCACATAAGACTTCTTTCTCCCAGAAAAATGAATGGCAAGATACACTTTTCACAGCTCTATTTATTGAGAAGACCTTCCACATCTCCCAGTGTCCTTGAGGGCTACCCCTGGGTGTGGCTAGTATATAGCTGTTCTTCATTTTCAGTTTGTATCCACATACCAAGCTCACACTAGTTTTTCCTCCTCTGACTTGCTGTGTTGGTTTTGATTTAATATTTTATGTACAAACATTTGTAGAATAAGAAAAGAAAAATGTCTTCAAATTACTCTCAAGTAATTGAAACTTTAAATTGTATGACATTAAAAAACAATGCTACAAGATCTATACAGGATTGAGTCCATCAGCATTTCTTTGTGTATATATTAGATCTTCCCTGTGGGTCTGTTGGCAGTTAATTATTGCTGAATGGGTGGTGTAGTCATTAGTAAGCTGTCCTTGTTCCAATAAATGACCTCTCATATGTTCTTATGCAAATAACTCTAATGAAATTCAGAGGAGAGATACCCCAATAATATTTTCCTAGTTTATGTGCTTACCTGCAAGTACAAGAGTTCCAGTTCCGTACCTAATGGCTTGCCTTTTTACTATTTTTTACACTTTTTGTCTCTCTCTGTGTGTTACATGTATACATGCATACAAATGTGTGCAACCATGCATTAACACAGAAACCAGATGTCCTGCCATAGCACTTTTTATCATACTTTCTCTAGACAGGCTCTCTGAACCTAGAGCTATACTGGTGGCCAGTAAGCCCTGCTGGTACTCAATCTTTACCCCAGACAGTGCTGGGATTATGGATGGCCTTGCTGGGCTTTTTATGTGGGTGTTGAGAATTTATACTCAGGTATTCATACTTGGACAGCAAGCACTCTTACCTACTGAGCCATC